AGAACGAGGTTAGATTGGTTTAAGTTATTCTCAAAAATGAATAACTCAAAACAATTGGTCGGTGGATAGGGTTTCTGGAAAGGTTGAATAGAATTTATGATGTAGATTTCGGGTGTGCTTTCAGAATGGGTTGAAAACCATAGGGTGGAGTATATGCATGTGAGATGCGGGGTTAGCCACTGCTTGCTGTTTCCAGTTTCTTTTCCATTGTCCCTATACAACCTGTGTATGTATGTATGTATGTATGTATGTATGTATGTATGCATGCATGCATGCATGCATACATGCATGCATGCATGCATGCATGGGGTTGAAGTGATCAGGGATACCTTCAGGTACATACAGGGTCATGAAGATAAGTAGGGTCTGGGGTTTAGGGGTTTCCAGTTTAGGGTATGAATGGGGTGCTTGAGAAAGTAGGATGTACGTAAGCATGTTGGGGATGCTGAGTTCAGCGTAAGGGGCCAGAATTTTGGTCATTACTCATGAGATCTTGTTCCCAACTAAGAGGCAGCTATGTGTGGCCGGACGTTCTTGCGTGTGTTGAGTTTTCGGGAGCAAAGGCCTTCAGCAGCTCACTGGGTAGCTGCCAGTCGAATGGTATGTTTGATTGCGTGCGCATAGTTCGGACACACAGTAACTACATGCCAGCTGGTCAGGTCAACGAAGAGGAGTTCCTGCGCATCATGAAGAAGACAAACTTGTTCTGAGCCACTGACGCACTGCGGCAGCAGCCTGACATTTACAACGGCTTTGCGGCTGATTGTAAGGAACACGCCAGCATACGCCAGCAGTACAGAATTGACCTAATGCTTTGCTAGCTAGCTCCCATGTCAGCTGCGGGGTGAGAGTCAGCCCTCTCAGCACGCTTGGGCTTGATTCGCTTAAGCTGTTGTTTCACGCTTGCTGCCATGTGCTGCAATCCGGCTTGGCTTTGCATGTCAATGCTAGTTTGCACCTGCGGAGTGTGGCTGGATGCAGCCGGCACTGTAGCAGAACGAGCCTCGGTGTCCATGCGGCTTCGTAAGCTCCAACCAACACCTATCATGTAAACTCTTCTAAGGATTCAGGTATATAATATCTGCATAAAGTGTTGCAGAGACGCGCGTCATGAAAGGAGCACGTTGTCCAAATGTATGCTACGTGCATCTATCTGCACGGCCTTTGCGACGCCTACCGAATGAGGACTGCGAGCAAAAGCATAGGGATCAGATGGCTTGGGGACACATTCATCTTGCCATAATCATAATGCAAGCTGGAGGGTGCATGGGCGGTGGCATCCTTTCTGCTACGAGGGCTCTGGCTTCCCTGCTTCTAGCTGTTATTTACGGATGTGACGTGCAAGCAGTACTATGCTTGCCTCGCTTGCGTCTAGTACACGGATGTAGCATCAGCCGGGCTTTGGTGGAAGTCGAGGCCGCGGCGCACGCAGGACTCTTGGCTCCACGCCGACGACCAACCCTTAGGTCAGAGTCTTAGCTCTCACTCTGCGCCATGGCTCTGCGTCGATTCAACGCCGGCGGCAAGAAGCAGAAGGAGGGCCACGCCACGAGCAAAGGGCCCTCAAAGGGCCTCAGAGCACGGGCGTTCAGGTTTCACATTTTAACCGCTAAGCAGAGCAACTTTCATTTACATGAGCCACAAGCCCCGACCTGCGCAGAGACTTGTATCTGACATATTCTCGTATGTTTTTTTGTTCCTTTGGGAGGAGAGGACCCTAATTCGCACTATTGCTAATACTAATCGATACCAATCGTCCATTATCAGTACAAGACACCCGTACCGCCAGTTGCACAGCCAGCCCAAGCCACCATCGCCACTGCCACAACGAATGCAACGAGCGATGGTGCTGCTTCTATGTACCACTGCTATTGGAACCTAAGTCGCGCTGATAAAGCTACCGCTGGAATGGTGACTGCATGCGTCTTGAGATGACACCTCCCCTCCCCTCCTGTTCAAGCGTCGTGCATCAGGAGCTGACCGAAGAGCAGAAGCAGGACCAGCGTCAAGTTCAGCAACCGTCTTCCCTGTTTGGCAAAGTGCATAGTTAGAGAAAGTGGGGTGTTGTTTTGCCAAGGCACATTTTTGTTGGTCGCTGAACATGGGAAGTTTTTCGGAGCGGATGTATCAGGAAATCAAAGAGGCCTTCGACTTGTTCGACACAGATGGCTCAGGCCCGAATGGTTTTGGGTTCATCTGGTTTGGGGCATTTTGTCTGGTTGAGGCTTTCTGCAACTGTCAGAGGGAGGCGTCCTATCCATGGTGCAATTATTCTTTGCAAGCTGTCCTTATCTCTAGGCGCTGCTCTGTCGATGCTTGAACCGCATTCAGCTCCAAGATTCAATAAACTTGAAAGTAATTATAGTAGTTTCCATTGTCTTTACCAGTATCCCTATATATCCCTTATATAACCCATTATAGTAGTTTCCATTTTTTTTCCATTACCCCATGGCTACCTCCCTGTTTCCATCAGCACGCCAGGTGAGATCGACTCCAAGGAGCTGAAGGCACCAGCCCCAAATCAATTCTCAGGGCGTGGAGGGTTTTGAATTGAGGCTTGAGGCAGCCAGCAACTCTAGGAGCGGGGTGGTTCTCATGGGAAGTACGTGGGGATTGTAGGGCTTTAAAGGTTGAATATTTGCAGGTATCGAAAAGGGCCATCCGCAGTATGCTACCTAGGTTTGAGTTCTGAACACATGACGAAAAGCGGCCTCCAGAAGAAAAGATGCACAGGTCGCCATGCGCGCCCTTGGCTTCGAGCCGAAGAAGGCGAGAAAACGTTTCTTGCGGAGAGTTTTCTGGGCTTGGCGTCTCCTGGGGCACTTCTTTGAGCGCATGCACCATTCCATCGCAATTTGAACACTTGCTATCTTTTAGTCGGTCAACGTTTGGATGCGTAGGGTATACATTACTTTGAAGAGTTGGGGGGACAGGCTGCCCTTGAGGGTTTCAGCTGCTTTCAGGTCTCGGAATTTGATAGCATTTGCTTCTAGCCCTTGTGTCGGTCCTCGTAATCCTTGCTCGAAGTAAAGCCTGTAAGCTGCATCAAACATGCTAGCATGGTTATGAGACTAAGAGTAGCTCCAGACAACGCGTGATGAAGACTACTCGTTGTTGAGTTGAAATTGTGGGTGTAGAGCCAGTAAACGCTTGTCTTCCAAGCAAGCCTTCCCAGTGTTGCGTATATCAAATGGAAAGCAAGAGAAAAGACATTAGTCATGCGATGTGTAAGCAATCATCGAACTGAAATTTGGGGGTTTCCTGAACTTAGGGGTACCTTTTTAGTGGTCCCCATAATGAAAGGCTATAGCATTTTGGGGTCCATCTTGGGGTCCCACTCTTTGTGGAGACTACCATATGAAGTTTGGGCGGCCTTGTTGAACTGTTGGCTTGCAGGAAGAAATCCAGAAGATGATTTCTGACGTGGACGATGATGGCAGCGGCACCATCGGCTACGAAGAGCGGCTGAGCTAAAGCTGGTTCATGACATGGGTTGAAGGAATTGGGGTTGCTCAGCAGTTATGCATGGTATCAAGAAATTGGAATTCTTTGGAGTAGAGGAGGGGATGTTTGTGGTGTACAGCGTTTCTGAAGACGCGCTCGCGGCTTCAGCTGCGGTCGTGCTGCACTATGATTAATATTTGTGGTCATTAACCACGTGCTATCCCAGAATAGCAGGCGTTACCATCTCAAAGTAAATTGCATTTCTGATCTAGTCCTGATGATGTTTGCCAAATCTTCAGTAGGGAAACTCTGCAGAAAGCCTGTCAGGCAGGCAGAAGGCCGCCAAGCAGAAGACAGCGTTCGGAGAGATGTGATCTAGAGGCCTGAACAATCCCTCATATGATCCCGGACCCTGAGCCTTTAGATTAGATCTCCCTTCTGCGGGATGATCATATGGATCCCTGCGTTTTGAGAATGAGGGGGACATAGACCAGGGTTGACCGTAGTGCTTCTTGATCGAACCCTGCAGCTTGACGGTTCCCCCCGTACTTCACCATAATTATGCACATCTCGAAATGACCATGACATCGGCCGAGCCAGTAGGGTGGAGTACAATTAACAGCACCTGCAAGCCAGAAGAATCCCTTCAAAGACTGCAGTCCTTTAGAAGGGACCCTATAAGATGCCATGACTGCAACCCACGTCCTTGGATCTTAAGCTGCTGGAAAGCTGAGGTTCCTGAAGATGATGACCCACAAGATCCTGAACCGTGATCCGCCCCTTAGAGCCAAAGCTGGTGGGATTCGTACAGGGACTTAAATGTGGGTCTTATGAGGGTCCTCATGCTTAGGTTTTAGAACTGTCGTTGTGTTTGTTGAAGCCTTAGTGTTCCAGGATCTACTACATGGGTTCCCTTACTGAGCTGCTCTAAAGTCTAGAGTGTAGCGGGACAGGTGGCCCAATATAGTCCTTGATAGAACCACATAATTCCTGTAGATTCCCGAGCGGTACCCCTATTTTGAGAAACTCAATGTGGCTCCAAGGAAGGACGAGATCCTCAAGGCCTTCCGGCTCTTCGATGACGATGAGACCGGTAAGATTTCCTTCAAGAACCTGAAGCGAGTGGCCAAGGAGTAGCGGTGTCACATTCTAGCTCAGTTTGGAGGCTTCTCAACAAAAGTACACGGCACCCATCAGTGCAAGCTTTTGAACAAGGTGTTCACGCATGAGGTGGCGCTGCTCAATCTGGCTTCAAAACAATGCCCGAAGCGCACTGCAGGAGCTCGGCGAGCGGATGACGGATGAGGCTGCGGGGGGCAGATGGCAGGAGGTGTAGCTGAGGATGGCCAGCAATTAGGTTCATACCGCCATTTCCGGACCATACCGTACATAATTTCGACAAGACTGATCGTAAAGAGAGCTACGTCCTTACTACGTTTCCAAAGCCTCTGAAATGCAGTTTTTGTTGGCGGCAAAAGGACCCGAGAAGAGTGACCATTAATGCCTCCTTGCCACGCTTTGAGTTTTGGGGGGCGTGTTAGTAATTAGGCCAGTCGTTTCCTGTGAAGTGGAGTTATGGCAGGTAAAAACTTATTTATGATCTGCAGCATGGATCATTTTGGGCTCAGGGGTTTCCGCATGCCTCAGCGCATCGCAGAGGGTCCCAAAAATTGAATAAGAGTTGAGTATGCGCGGTTCCCGAGCCAAAATCGGGCCGCCCCAAAGGAATCAACGTTCTTTGCCATATCACAAGAAGATCTGCGAGTCTGTCTATGGGATCTACTTGTCGATTCTTGCTTCTCGTCGCCAGCTCGTGACCAATCTCCAGTGCATGGGCATACAGGGTAGACCGTCCTTCTAGGTTTCTAGGCCTTATTGATAATTCCACGCCCAAAGTGTTTCAGCTTGTGGAGGGTCCAGAAGTTTAGAGCCCTGTGCTCTCTCTCTCTCTCTAATTCAACACTGTACTGATTGCCACCGGAAACACACAAAAGCTTAAAGCATAGTTTCAAACAGCAAGGGGTCCCAGAAGTGATAGAAAGACTGATCTACGATCCTATGCGAAGCCAAGCCCCAACCTCAAGCCCAAAACCCTAAGCCCCCAAAACCCGAAGCCCTAAGCCCCAAACCCTTAAACTGCCCCGAGTCCCAGGAGCTCCAAGAGATGATTGACGAGGCTGACCGCGATGGTGACGGAGAGGCTTCTGGGGTTGGGAGGGGATCTGGGAGGGGGTTCCCTTTGAAGGCTTACATAGACCCTTGGTTTAAAGTCCCGTAAACGAATCCTCCATTCAGCTTATTCATGCGCTGATGTTGCTGACTTGTTTTGCTTGTGGAGGTCAACGAAGAGGAGTTCCTGCGCATCATGAAGAAGACCAATCTGTTCTGAGCCCTTTGGCTCTGGGGGCTGCAACCGAAGGTTCACGGCAGCTTGCAGCTGGCACATTGCAATCCAGTCACAACTAGAAACCTGTAGACACACGAGGGACTTGCTGGCATTGCACGGTCTGTCAGCTCCGGGAGTGAGACAGTCTCGACTCTTGTCCGGCTGTTGTTTCGGTCTTGCTGCCACCACTGCATGGGAATGCAATCGTGCATCTGCTGACGTCCCCGTTTGTGGTCAGAGGCAGACTACACGGAAGCATTGACGCCCATGTCCTACTAGTGCATGCGCTAAGAAGCCAATATCCCTGGCTCCCGGCTGTCACACCGTTCATGGATCAAGACTGCCGAAGCTGCTAGCAGCAAGCAGCAATCCTATACGCCTAAAGAGAAGATGCCGGGAGTCCAGATGCACAATGTATGCTACCTGCTACATTTACGCTGACAGAACTGAAGCGGGGGTGCAGCAGGAAAGAGCGGCGCTGCATTTCTCAAGCTGAACACGCAGTAAGACTCTGCCCCAACCAGGGCATGTTATCTCTACCCCAATAATGGAGAATCAAATGGAAAAGAACCTGGAGAATAACATGGAAACTGCTATATTATGTGTATACATATATATATAGGGTTAGGACCCAAAATTCCAACCTCAACATCAGGGCTTGGGAGCGGCATTGTGAGTTCTAGACATCTGCCTTCTGTATCGCACACAGCTTGTTGCAAACAATTCAAATCCAGAACGCATTTTGGGGCAATTCTACAATTCGGGCCCGACAGTCTCGCTGGAACTAAGGAAACCCGCGAACATGAATGATCCGGGGATTGTGGCGGAGACTTATCCCTCATATCGCCTTTGTGTTCTTAACTAGGGACCACTCAAAAAGCGGGATGGATTCCTTTCGGGCAAGGTTTCATGCAGTCTCCGGCCAGAAACCGCAGTGATGGCAAAGAGAAACCCTGCGGCCCTACCTCTGCGCTGATCACGTGAGAGGGCTTTGAGGTCTATCAAGCCACTCCATGGCATGGAGGAAGAATGGGAGTTTCTCAAGTACTTCTGTTTAGTGGTCTACTTACAGGTGGAACTTGATCTTCAGCTTTGCCCCGTTCTCTGGCTCACAACTTATTCTCTTACAAGAAGTATAGACACCAGTAGTGGTACTTGGCTTTTGCCCTCTGAACTTGGATTAGGCCTTGCAGAAAGTCGAGGCCGCTGCACGCGCAGGACTCTTGGCTCCACGCCGACGACCAACCCTTAGGTCAGAGTCTTAGCTCTCACTCTGCGCCATGGCTCTGCGTCGATTCAACGCCGGCGGCAAGAAGCAGAAGGAGGGCCGCGCCACGAGCAAAGGGCCTTCAAAGGGCTTCAGAGCACGGGCGTTCAGGTTTCACATTTTAAATGCCAAGCGCAAGAACTTTCATTCACATGAGCCACACAACCCGACCTGAGCAGGGACTCCCGAGTGAATTCTCAAGTGCGCTGAATATCCGGTATGTGTCTTTGCAAGAAGGCCTCAACGTCATTCTCTGGGGTCCTTTGGTGGCAAGATGGAGGCTGAACATCTACAATAACTGTTGAGTTTTGGATTATGATTTTTATTGTGCTGCCGCTCCTGTTAATCGTGATATTGCAAGCAATGTGGAATCCCATCCGTGTGGGGTTCCGAATTGTGTCAGGTCTGAACAAAATTGCTCAGCGGTTGGGGGTGCGGATTTGTGCGAAGCTCTGTGGCGTTAAATATCCCCTGCTAAGACGGGCCCCATTTTTGTTTGTGGTGCTCCAACACACGAATCAGGACCCAACCCCAAGCCACTTGACATTACAAAAGGTATTGCTGCCACCCATCACGAGCGCCCCTGCACATACTAACGGAACGATTCATGGTGCTACTGCTTCGGACCACTACCATCGGCACATTACACCATGACATCCGTACTAGTGACGATCGCGTTAAGATGCAGCCTTTATGTGATGTCGTACGCCAGGAGCTGACGGAAGAGCAGAAGCAGGACCATCACATTCTTGTCGTATTCGTCTTCCCCTGGGGTAAACTGCATTTGCGAAAGCGGGTGTGCTTGCATGTAGCTTCAAGCGCGTAGTTGTCATTCTTGCGGCGATTGCTGTGCTTTTCAGACAAGATGTTTGGAGCCTCAGGAAATCAAAGAGGCCTTCGACCTGTTCGATACAGATGGCTCAGGCAGAATAATTGGTTTTCATCTAGTTTTGGGCAGCTGGCGGTGTTCTGAGACTTTGTGCTTCCCATTGTGCTGCTACAATGGCTTACTGCCGTTATCCTGGGCACCACGCTGTAGACGACTTGAGAGAGTCCATCTCAATCTACTGGAAAATGAGCAAGAGCTGCAGAAACCATCTTAATCAACTCTGCAAGCACCTACAATTATGCTGGCAAGCTGTAAGCTCAGTTGTGACTGTTCGGCATTTCCAATTTCCACCATGGACGTGGGTTCAGCATGTTGACTCCCAGCAGTATGCTTGAAGTCAGAGTACCTCCCTGTTTCCATCAGCCTGACAGGTGAGATCGACTCCAAGGAGCTGAAGGCTCCAGCCCAGAGCAGATATTAGGATGTCTTAGAATTGAGTCTTCTCGCCGGTGTGCATTTCTGGGGAGAGGGTGGTTCTCGTGGGAAGTAGGCGGGCGTTGTAGGGCTTCGCAGACTGAATACTTTAATATATCAAAGAGGGCCATCAGCAGCGCCCAATCTAGTTCTGAGCACATGACGAAAAGCGGCAACCGGACAAACAGATGCACAGGTCGCCATGCGCGCCCTTGGCTTCGAGCCGAAGAAGGCGAAAAAGCGTTTCATACCGAGAACGTTTGATAGTTGGCATTCCGGTTTCTTTGCTGGGCTTAAAACAGCTCTCCAGGGAGTCCGGGGAGGGGGTGTACTTCTAAGACGGCGAATGCTTGTTCTTTGTCAAATTATATTAGACCTAGATGTTGAGGGCAGGATTTTGCTTGCAGCTTGTCGTTCTGACCCTTGTGCTTCTCCTTAGCCTCCGGGAGGCAACCTCCAGATGCACTTGCCCAGGATAGAGCCCTTCAGGTGTTCCAAACATGCTATCGTGGTGACAGTATTATTCCGCTATCCCGCATTCAAGGTGTTTGGCAAATTCTGCGCATTGAACCTGGGAGTAGTTCCATGCAGCGCCGCGGGAAGGAACTCGGATATTCTTTATTTGGAGGTTCCCATAGATCGGTGGCCCACAATTTTCAGAAATCCCCACGTCACAATTTCTCAACATAAGCTGTCCTGATGTCTGGCATATCCAGAAGAGACTTTTCTGTCATGCATGGTAGACCCTTGCGGAGTATCCTGTGCGGTATGTTCCTAGTTAATTTTGTAAGTGTGGTTCCCCTGGCTAGCACGCAGGAAGAAATCCAGAAGATGATTTCTGACGTGGACGATGATGGCAGCGGCACCATCGGCTACGAAGAGCAGCCCTGCTAAAGCCAAGTTGTGACGCGGGTCGAAGAAAAAAATTGGGATGGATTGATGATTGGTGAGAGAGTGTCTAGCAGTGCCACCAAGCGATATACCCTGAAGCCAAAACCAGAGTGCCGCATTATGATGCAAAGCCGAGGCATCCCTTCCTTTCGATTGTGAGGGAGACATGACATAAAAGGAAGAACATCGAAACATTGCAACGCATCATTCATGCAGTTTTTCTCTCTCTTACCATTGGTTTGCAGGTAGGGGATAACGATGTTCTAACTCGCTCGGCCACTCCTGTAAACTCGTGCTGGGCCCATTGCTCTTTGTTCCGAGCAGCCGCAAAGTCCATGATCTCCACTATGTTCTGCTTTACAAAGATGTTGAAGTTATGTTGGCTAGCTTACTGCCACCGGAACCTTCGGGATCTGCTACAGGCGATCCCAGCAAAGCCACTTCTCCATGAAACCTGTAGGTTCACCCTTCAGTTAGCCTACCCGCCGACATTGCAACTCTGAGGCCCATAGCAATGTCATGAAAACATGATTGTCGTCATCATTGCCGCTATCTCAATAATGTCCGTATCATGATCTCTTTCCCGTACATCATAGGCGTTGTCGCCGGCAGCATCAGCTGCACATGGTTGTCCGTATGGGCGTCGTCATGATCATTGTCATCGTCATCGCCGTCGTTAGTTTCTTAGTTTCAGCATTACCATCATCGTCATCCTCATCATCGTTATCATCATGAGTGCTGTCTTCGCGAGATATTCGTAACTTTGGCAGACTCAGTTGGACAGACATTGTGAACGAGTAGACCTGAAGTACCCGTGCCGTCAAAAATCATGATAAAAATCACCAAAGCCAGATATGCTACCATAATGGGTATTATACCCGTATACGGGAAAATCAAATGGAAAAGAACATGGAAAATGAAATAGAACTTGGGGGATAACAGGGATTAACCCACGTCCTGGATCTTAAGCTGCTGGAAATCTGAGGTTCCTGAAGATGATGACCCACAAGATCCTGAACCGTGATCCGCCCCTTAGAGCCAAAGCTGGTGGGATTCGTACAGGGACTCAATGTAGGTCTAACAGGGTCATTAAACTCGGAGTTCGGAGTTCTCATTTACTTTCTTGTGTTTTGGAATTTTATTTTTGGAGGAGTTCAGTATGTAGATGCCCGTGCCGTGCTAGTCTCATGAGATCGTAAACAAGCGACATGGCAGAGCAGCCAACCACAGGACTAGAATGACAAGAGCTCCTATTCTGAACATAAGGTGTAACAGTAGGAATACCAGTAGCAACAACAATAATCAATAAGAATAATGTAGTGCCCCAATTCGAGGTGCAAAATGGATTCGTGATGCGTATTCCTTCGTGTTATATAGACGTGCTCTGGACCGCCAGGAAGGACGAGATCCTCAAGGCCTTCCGACTCTTCGATGACGATGAGACCGGTAAGATTTCCTTCAAGAACTTGAAGCGAGTGGCCAAGGATCAGCCGTTGAGCCTTCAAGGGGTCTTGATCTATCCGCACCACTGCAGCATAATCTCAGCGTTAAGCCTGCTGGTGGATCGAAAGGCAGCACAGGGTTGAAAGACATAGACCTCAATTTGAGACATTGGTGGCTTGCTTGTTGCAGATGGGATAAGATCGGTTCAATGTCCAGCACACAGAAGTCGGTGTGGTCCTAGCTCAGAGAAGACCCTCCAGGACTGGGAGCGACATTAAGTAATAATGGAAAATAATGGAAAAGAAAAATGGAAACTACTACCTTGTACTAGGGTATACATAGGGTATATACATGGTCATATACTAGTAATGGAAACGAAGATGGAAACTACTACATTGTACTAGGATGTATTCTGGATATTTAGATACACACCCTCTATGCCTGAATCATCGAGGTACATCTAAACTTCAGCTCTGATTAGGGGTCTGGAGTTGTCTGCTACGTTTGCATCATCCCATGAGCATCTTTGCGCGAAAAAAAATGCAAGGGTCAGAACAGAATTTCTGTTTCTGCGTGTTCTGAACTATTTCTCGAAAAGGGGGTCGGCTTTCATCCCGAGAAGCTTCGCGTCCTTCCTAGGGAGGTACCAAACCGGACCCAGAACCTTGACAGCCAATTCTTACTCATGTTTTGTTTTCATCGTTCCTGCTGTTAGTACCACTATTAGTACAACGTGTTCCAGCGGAATCCACATGAAGGCCTCATTGTTCCGATGTAGCACCCACATCAAACCTCCAACCCTAAACCTCCAACCCTAAACCCTAAACCTCCAACCCTAAACCTCCAACCCTAAACCTCCAACCCTAAACCCTAAACCCTCAACCCTGAACAGAGCTCCCCGAAGCTCAGCGGAGGAGCTTGGCGAGCGGATGACAGATGAGGCTGCAGGGAGGGTTTCGGGTTTACAGTTTAGGGCCGTTTAGGGTTTAGGGTTTAGGGTTTAGGGTTTAGGGTTTAGGGTGTGGCTAAAGGTCTGCCTGGGAAGTGCATTGAATGGGGTCTCGCTTTTGGGAGTCATTTTTTAGGAAGGATAATATTGGTTTTGGGGAACAGGGGATCCTAGATTTTGGAAACTATTGCCGGGGCATGGATCTCTTTCAGGTGCCCCTCATACTTAGGATCCGATGATTTCTGGTGATTTAGATCCCAAATTTGGAGAAGACCTGTTGGTGTTCATGGGCGAGTTCAAGCTAGAGAGGCACCCCTTGAACCCGCAATATGGAACACCTCAGACATTGGGACTGAAGAAGAGGGACCCGAGATTTCCGGCCAGACTTCTGCCTGAAGTCTCGGTGGGGCGGTAAGCAGTAAGTTTGCAAGCTGCCTTGAAATGGATGTGGATCTGTGGCAATTCACGACTAGTCCGCATGATCGCCAGCAGGAAGCTTCCGGGTTGAGGTGTTTCAGCACAGAGTGTCCAAAGATATTTTCAGGAGAAGGTGATTCTTGGGGAATGATATCTTCATTTTTTCCAGCCGCAACGATCGACACCGAAAACTTACCCCTGGTTGGCAAGGAATGACGGAATGGAACCTTAGAAGTTCCTAGGTAATCCCAGATAATTCCCTAATTTACATTTTCTTTTCCATGCCTTCCCTCCCTGCCAAGCGCAGGTAAGAAAAGGTTTAACGCTTTTATGGAATCCAGGGTTTGGTGTGTATTTCTTAACGGAACCCGTGTTTTTTTTTTTTTGCTGTTTG